CTCTCTCCCGGCCCCGCCACCCCCAGGCTGCTGGCCGGGAAGCCCTGATGGTGGAGGCTCGGGCAAGCGAGTTGGGTGGAGGGGCAGCAGCAGTCTGGGACCTCGCCTCCCCCGTTCTATCCCCATTCCGCCCCTCCTGCCGCTGGCGACCTGTGGGTGGGCCAGCAGCGCCTCCGCGTGGGCGAAATCTGAGACGCGTGCTGGACCCCCCTAATCAATGGCTTCGGAACATTTTCGTTCACAGCCTCCTGGAGAGTCACGGCTGGCAGAGAGCTGCGTGTGGCTGTCGCTCAAGAAAGGCCGTGGGAGACGCCTGGCCCAGCCGCCATCACCCCCACCCCTTTGCCAGCTGGGAAAGGGAGCCCTGCTCAGTCACCAGCCAGCAAGTGTCGCTCCTGAGCCGGACCCAGAGGTGTGATCTCCAGCTGGGAGTGACTTGCATACGTCAGTGCCACCGCCTTCTCCCTGAACCACGGTGAGTGGAGGTGAGGCCTCAGCTGAACCAGTCCCTCACCCAGGTCAGCTGACACCACCCCCACCCCCACCCCGGACTATAAAGTGGGGGCATCCTTTCTCCTGTCCCCCAATCGGCCACCCTCCTGCCAAGCCTCCACTCCTCCCTACTGGGGGCCGGCACACCCTCACAGCCGCCTCGAGAAGCACCTGTGCCCCTGATGGAGCAGGTGACAGCACTTGGACCATTCCGGGAGAGGGAGGAATCTTTGGGTCCGACAGGGTGCTAGGAGCGTGCCTGGGGGCAGCTGGGTGCCTTGGGCATGGCCCCATCCCTCTCTCAGTCCAGGCTCCACTAAACTCATCTTTCCCTGGAGTCTGGCCACGAGCTCCAGCGGCATCTGGTTGGGCCGGGGTCCAGGTCTGTCCTGCTCCCTGCTGGCTGAGGCTGGGACTGCTCACAGCTCCAGTGCCTCCCATGCCCCTGCCAAGGGCGAAGGGGACAGGTGTGCAAGTCTGTGGGGGGAGGAGCCTGGGTTCCCTTGGAAGCTGGCCTCCTCTGGCCTCTGGCCTTGCCAGGGGGGAAGAGGTGGGAGAGGGAGTTCCCGGGTGCGTCACCGGTGAGGAGGGGCTCCAGCTGCAGCCTGTGGCCGGGCAGGAGCTTGTCAGGCCCCAGACACAGGCCCTGCCAGTGGTGGTGCTGGCCTGGGGCCCTCAGGCCTCTGGAATCTGCATCCCTGGCAGCATCTCCCCCTTTTCGCCTCCCCCAGCCCTGCCCCAGGTGGTCCAGACGTCATCATAGAGGAGAGGGGTGGTTGAGGGACAGTGCTCTGAATGGGGTCAGCATGGATACTGCCACTCACCAGTGGGGGCAGGAGGGCGAGCACTGGACCCACAGGAGGCTGGCCAAGGAGCAAGGGACTACCCCTGGGGACCCTCTGTGCCTGGCACAGCCTCAAGCTGGGCATTCCTCTGTCCCACCTACTGTTGGCTGCCATCTTCTAACATCACAGGGATCCTGGTGAGTTGGGGGTGAGTTGGGGGTGACAGCACTTCAGCTTCCCCTGTTCCCTCCAGCTCCCCGGCCCTGGCGAGGCCTTTGTTGTAGGACCTGTTGCAAGTGGCTGAGTGTAGACATGAGGTGTGACCTCAGTGTTTCCATTGGCCTGGGAACCCCTCAAAGGCAAGGACATGTGAGGGCTAGCATTGGCTTGGGGGTGGACCCAGGATTGGAAGTTAGGAGGTATTCAGTCAAAGATGGACTCAAGTTCCGTGACCTCCATCCCTCACTGCGGGCCTCAAGGCGGCCTGGGAGTAATGCTGAGAGCCACCCTTTGCCCTTTGACCTCTCAGATGGCCCAGTGGGCAAGGAACACAGACTGGGGGGCTGTGGCATGTGTTTATTTAGCAGTCAAGGAGCAACTCCATCAGCAGGGTGGCCTAGGAGCAGCGCTGGGCCGCACTGTGAGAGGATCCTGGCTCTCAGTGGCGTCCGGCTTGTGGGGGCAGCTGGGTGGCACCTTGGGCGGAGGCGGATATGAAGGCAACGGGAAGGAGGAAGAGGAGGCATCTGAGAGGCACGCAGGGGAGTCACAATGGCGACAATGCCGGGTAGGGGAGCAGCAGGCCCCTGCCCTCTGGCTCCCATCAGCCCCCTCCCCGTCCATACTCACCACCTGCTCACTGGTCATCGATGCACTTGTCTGTGGGGGAGACAGTTCGTCACAATAGGCAGGGATGTGTGTGTGACCCCTGACCACCAGGACCCCTGCCCTGCCCCCCGGCTGCCCCAGGCCCCAGCCTGGCCCAGGAGCAGCAGATCTAGGGGTTCCCTTCAGGGCTGGGGCAGCAGAGGGGCAGATGATGGGGGAGGGGATCTAGAGAAAGGCCTGAGAACACCTGGGGGTCACTTGTTCTCAAGGACTCAAACGAGGCCCAGCCACCTGCTGGGCACCGAGGTCTCCTGCCCGTTGACCTGATGAGCCCTGGCAGCCCCTCAGCCTTGGGGAGGCCGGTGGCTCTGTGAGTGGCCTGCTATTGAGGTGATGGATGCACACGCTGGATACTGTGAAACCCACTGAATTGTACAATTTAAATGGATGAGTTGTATAGTATATGAATTATAGCTCAATAAAGCTGTTACTAAAACAAAACGCAGACTCCACACCCTACATTTACTAAGTCCTGCACTCTAATAACCCAATCTTTATTACACTAAAGAGAATAATAATAATAACCATTTACTGAACACTTGCATTTGGAACCTACTGAGTATTTCTCATTCATTTTCCCATTCAATCCTGACACATCTCAATGCCTGAGGCACTAATCATTGTTATTTTACAGATGAGGAAACAGGCTTCCGAGGGTGAGAAGGGAGCTGACGGTTCTCTCTCCACACCTCACCCACCTTCCATCCACCGCAGTGCCGTGCACACCACAGGCTGCTTTGTAAACAAGTCACATTCAGGGCTCCAGGCCGCACCAGAAAAGATGGCTGGGGCTGCTGACTTAGCAAGGCGCGCGCCCACCCGGACAGCCCTTGGGCTGGGCCAGAGCGGCCCGCCGTCCCCACAGGGGCCGAGCTCAGCACTGGAGCAAACCCTCAAAGCGCGGGTGTCTCTAAAGCGGCCTCAGTTTCTGCAAAATGGGGCCCGAGGCCCACAGTTCTCGAATGCTGGGGTTTCCAGACACCCACTGGCAGGTGCCAGGAACCTGCAACCCACCCAGGAGCGGGGGATGGGAGGGCTCCTTCCTTCCACACACCTGTCCGGGGCCCCCCCCTCCCCAGGAAGGTACCCGGAGAAAGCAACGGTCGCTCAGCAGTCCCCCCGCGTCACCTGCTTCCCCGAAGCTGTCATCCTCGTCTTCCGTGCTCGGTACCACCGGCATTCCCATATTGGGGCCCGACATCGCGGGCTCGGGCGCCGCAGAGGCCACGAGACGCTGAAACGCCGCGA